TACAGCACCTGAGGTTCCTGGTTGGTCTCCCATACAATTACTAACCAGATCCGAGTCTGGATGGCTTCTAAGATCTCACGAGATCAGACACTTTCAGACTGGTATGGCCATAGGCTTATTTAGGAAAGAAAGACTTAAAATGAAAGCTACTTGTCTCACCAAAATAAGCCTCTGGTGTGCTGGAGGGCTGGTGAGAGCACACTGGTAACTAATCTGAAACACACCCGGTGGCCAGATAGTTACTGCTGGGTTCAATTATCCTGCCATTAGGCTCCATGTTCAAGAGTTCTCACCAGGTGCCGAGATCGCTTTGTGCACGTGCATAGCACTCTGTGATTCATAAGTGTAATGCAACACCCCAGTGTGTTGTCCACATATGGAGCCTCCCAGCTGTGCGTACAGAAGCCTCTTCCCTCACCCGGTACAGATTGGGTGGAATGGTAAAGGAGTGAAACACAGGAGCCGGTCGTGTGTTCATATAATCTGATAATTGAAGGACCAGAGCACTGGCAAAGCAAACCTTCAGAAGCAAGACGGAGCCTTCCAGGAGCCACAGCCCCCTCACCACGTCTATCCAAAACACACAAAAAAACACAAATTTTTTTACTTACCGTAAAAATTTTTTTCCAGAAGATTAGAGGCAGTGCTTTACATCTGGGATAAATCAAAGCAATCCCCTAAGGGAGGGACTCATTACACAACTGCATGCAACAACCTGCGCCCAAAGTTGCATCTTCCGAGGTTAACAGGCCTAAATGTAAAATTAAGCAAATATGTGAATAAATCAGCATGAGGCTAAAGAGAATTATGAGAAGGTATAGCAGAAGCCCTCTGGGCACAAGATGTGAACATCGCTCTGATTGAAGGAGCTTCAACGGAGATAGCTGTTAGATGAGAAAAGAAAACCAAAACCAAATGAATGCACACCTTTACCCTCTGGCCGGATACTGTAGAAGAGGCTGGTCGACTTATGCTTTTAAGGTACCGCAGCAGAGAACTAAACGTCCAGGCAGTGGAATTTGAATTCTAAGGCCCTAGAAAGCTGTTGTGAAAAGTTGGCAAATTAATAATAGATGGAAGATCGGGAAGTTTTAAAGGTTCCAACTTAAACACCACTTTGTCCTGCTGAAAATTGGAAAAAATTGAAGAGCTAGACGTTTTAAAAAAAAAATAATAATAAAAAAAAAAAAAATTGGGGTGATTACCCCTGTTAAGACACCTCCAGTGTCTTTAGGCAAAACCGCCCTTTAGTAGACCTTCCCCGTCTGCAATAACAGTAACTCCGTTCGCCTAACCTGTAGTGCACAAACCAAATGCAGGGGAAGCGGCAATCTCCCGACCGGGATCTGTGAACGGCTCTAAACTCCCGAACGGCAATACACGAACTGCTGCTAGCCGCTGAACAACAATATTCACCAAGCGGCTTTCGTTTCCATCCAGCAGTCTCTAAACGTGAAGAAGAAATGCCCCCAATAACGAGACAGAAGCTTCGCATTGAGGGTCAAACAGGATCTGGCTTTACTGTGGGCTACCTGCCCGTATTTATACAGGTCTCCCACTTGGTGGACACTCCCCTAGGGGACCAAATGGGAGACTTAAATGACAGACAGATATGGGGACATTCCAGACACAATCACAGATTTTACCCACAGTGCATTATGATTCCCTCCCCTCTGCCCTGGAGATAATTACCAAGTAACTCAATTATCTCCCGGGCAGAGCCAGTCGCCATTTTAAATATAAAATCATAAAAGACATAAAAATGCATACCTTTAAAATAACCGAACATTTCCCATTCGTATCACATATCCCCAGATAGCCTGGATCTGCGTGCACATTATTAGCGAATAGCGCTCAGATCCCACACACATAGTTCAATCGCCATGGAGTCAAAGTTCTTACAGTCTTTCGGAATACGAATGACTCCATGGGAAGGCTATCTGGGTTAAGTCTTTTCGTATGCTCCAAACCTCCCGAACGGCCGGTATTTGTATGCTTTCGTGGAAACAGCCAGGCGTTCGTTGTTTCCGCGGTGTTCGGCAGAAAAAGTCTCCGTTTTTAGTTCCATAGAAATAGAGCCAAACATGGCTGGGCTTTCGCATGGTTTAAAATGGCCGCTGCCTCGTGGTCGACATACGAACGACGACCACCCTGAATTCGGTTTAATTGAGAAGTGTCTGCGGTTAACCACAACGTTCTAATTGGGATCAATAGGTTAACCAGCAGCACACTCCTCTCTTGGGTGGCCGTCCGTTCAGCAGGTTTGTTCGGGAAAAACAGTCATTCGAATGGCTGGGCTATAGAAAACAGCCATTCATACGAACAGGATAAAACAGACGAATACACCCCAAAGACAAGCAGACAGATGGTTCTGTCACAACCCCCAAAGACCTTGAGCGAAGACTCAATCAGCAGATCTGAAAAACCCCAAAGAAGACCCCTTGGAGGAAAGATTCCCTGAAGGTAGGAACCAACCGAGACAAAGCACTGAAAATTCTGGTGATTTAAGAATACGGAGACAAACCGCTAAACATTTAACAGATAACCGAAATTTGGACCTAAAGGATATCTGGATTTAATCCATCTGCAAAGCCCATCAGAAGGAATTTAAAGACTTAAAAAAAAAAAAAAAATGGAACCAGTTGCTGGATTTTCTTTTAAACAATACATTAAAAACAACACCTTTTAAACTTGGAATAAATCTTGGACCAAGATCCATTTTACCGCAAAATCAAAATGTCAATAATTCATGAGACAAAACATTATCCTTCAATATCTGGTATTCAGAAACCAGTTCGTCAGTTTGAATGACTACAAAGTTGAAAAGAGGTACCATGGAGTATTCCAGGATGTCTATTGACGGGAAGTTTCCAAAAGATTCATCAGGTTAAATTCAGATGAACAGAGAAACAACTACTCTGCCACCAAGGGAGGAATACGATCCTTCTTACCATTTCCATCCTGTTGAATCCTGGGGATTAGGGAACAAGGAGGAAACTATAGGTTAGGCTGGAATTCCAAAGAAAGAAAAGGAAACAAAGACCTCTGGTCTGTCCAAGCTTGTCCAAAAGATGAAACACTTCGTGTTTACTGTTTTTATCTAGAAGCCCAAGGTCTATATCTGGATAACCAAATTCTTCCTGTAATTTAAATGAAGATCTGGGAGAAAGGACCAATCTGCTTCGTATTAAATGTTGCCGACTCAAGGCGACTGCTAAAATGAGGAATACTAGTTTCATACATATTGGTGGATAGACAGAAGGAAAACAAGTTGACATTGTTTGTACATAAATGCTACAGTTGTAGCACTATCCGACCAGATATGGACATGATAATACCTGGTCTACATCTGAAAGGCAACGAGAGCTAGCCAGACAGCCTTCAGAAGTATGTAGTTGGATAAGCTTCTCAAAATTTCTCAGCCAAATTCCCTGTTTCTTGATTTCACCCACATGAGAACCCCAGCTGAGACCTGAAGCATCAGACAAAAATTTCTGAATGAACTTATCTGGAAAGAAAAAACACCAGACTGCCGGAAACGGGAAGGGGTGACCAGAAAACAAAACTTTGCAGAGCATGCATGACGCGATACATAGGTATGTCCAAGTTGTACATTTGCTAGTACCAGAAGTGCTTCTTTGAAGAGGTCTCCTCTGGCCTTTGCCCAAATGACCGATGGGATAGAGGCTGCTGTAATAACAACCAGAATCTTAGAAAACACTTTGGTGCTGAGGAATAGCAATAGGTAAAAGTTCCGAATAATAATGTAATATTAAACTTACGGCACCTGAGGATCCTAGTTGGTCTCCCATACAAGTCCTAACCAGGCCCGAGTCTGGATGGCTTCTGAGATCAGGCACTTTCAGACTGGTATGGCCGTAAGCTGTAAGTCGAAGCTTAGGAATCTTTGCTGGGTATCTGATTTAAACCCAATTCCATCAATGGTAAGATACGGCTGGTCTCCCATGCAGAAATAAACCAGGAACAAGTCTGCTCAGCTTTAAAAACTAAACATTAGTAAGTCAATTCAGACTATAGCCGCCCGAGATACAGACCTTGATACCCAAAGAGAACATGTTGATTGTCTTGATGATTAGAACGGAAAAGTAAGAACCGTCTGGCATCATTCATTTCTGCCTAGTTCAAAAAGGAATGACAGAAGTATTGGAATTTTCTGCAAAATCTTTTCAAATTACACCAGCAAATTTTACTGCGCCTCTGCTACTGAAGAACCTGTAAACAGTGCCAAGCATAGAGAAGCTGAAGAGACAAAAACAGTTTCTTTAAAGACGGGAAGAAAAAAAATTAAAAATTTCCCTAGCATCTCGTCTACAGGAGTAGAAGAGAGATTGCAGGTGATAAGATATGAGGGGAAAAAAAAAATATTCCTGGGAGCCAACATTAAGTAGAATCAAAAGCTTCAATGAGAATGCAAAAGGAAAAAACCTAGTTTAAAAAAAAAAAAAACAATTTAAAAAAATGTTCACACCTGAACTGCTCCTTGTCAAGCAACAGAAACTGCACACCACAGGTAAAGGGAATTCTTCATCAGAAGATTAATTAGCGTCCTTGTTTAGGCAGAAGAAAAAACACCTTAACCTTTAGTGGCTGGTGTACAAAAACAATTATGCCTCGTTTCCACTGAGCAGATCGGTTCGGTAAAGTTCGCTATTTTGGGTGTTTCCATTATGAAAGTAGTCCATACAAGTGAACCGTACCGATCCATTCAGGGTCCTGCTTCAGATGTAGGGCCATTGGAAATGGAACGGTTCGGTTAGGGCGGAGCTACTATACAATTCATTGATTGGTGGACAGGAAGAGCATTTTTTCCTAAACCCCGCATGGCCCTGAAAGGTCTGACTTGCAGTGGAAACGCTCACCAGAATGGGCTGGTCCATTCTAAACCTTCCAAACTGTACCGACCCGAACCGCTCAGTGGAAACGAGGCATTAAGTGCCCATTAGCCAGCAGTATTGTAGAAAGCTAACCAATTTATGGATGGGAACATTCAGCATAGTGAGAGAATCACAAGCAGCAATTGAAATATAAGCTCTTTCTTAAAAGGAAAACGGCAAATAAACCTAGTCACACAAACCCTGTCATACCGTGTCTATGGCAGTGCAGGGTACAAAATAAATATGGTGGAAATGTCCCATGATCAATAGGCCTGCAGCTGTACTAGAACTTGAAGTCAAGCCCAATAACATGAGGAATAAATAGGTTTCCATGGAGGCTAGTTCATACAGGTTACCCTCTTTAGTGGCCAAAGAGAGACGGTTCACATAGATACAGAGCCTGCGTAAGACAATACCCATGATATAGGTTTTCCTTAAGGGAAGCATAGGCTTGAGTAGACAGAATACTGCAGACTGCATTTTAAAACCTGTTTGATGCAAACTCTACAGGAACCAATTTTGCAATTCCAACAAACAGTCTAGCACAATCCAGTATTTTTAACTGACAATATAGGACTTGGAATTTAAAAAAGGACAAAAACATAAAATGTGCAATCATGGAGCGAAGCATAGGAAAAGTTCTACCCCAGCGGAAAACAGACTGCACCTTTAAGAAACTGAGATCAGGTGAAACAAGTTGAAGTGGTGATAATGTTAATTTCCTCAGAGTTGTAGAGTATGGTCTACAGTGTTCGCTAAAATCCTACTGCATGCTCTAAGAAAAATTCACTGCAGCTGGGATCCAGGCATTTAACGAATCCATCTGCTACAACAGCAACTTAAAGAACCACTATAGGCACCCAGACCCAGCTAGGATTAACCCTTTCTTCAGAGAAACCGCTATGTTTATAATAGGGTTAATCCAGTCTCTAGTGGCTGTCTCATTGACAGCCGCTAGAGGCGTTTCTCACTGTGATTTTCACAGTGAGAAGACGCCAGCGTCCATAGGAAAGCATTGAGAATGCTTTCCTATGGACCAGCTGAATGCGCGCGCGGCTCATGCGCATTCAGCCGAGGAGAGTCCCCCGTCCAGCGCTGGAGAAAAAGGTAACTTTAACCCCTTCCTCCCCCTAGAGCCCTGCAGGGGGGACGACGGACGGATGGACCCTGAGGGTGGGGGCATCCCTCAGGGCACTATAGTGCCAGGAAAACAAGTATGTGTGGTCCTTTAACTGAAAAAAACAAAAAAACAAACAGATTTTAAATCAGCCTCTTAAGGATATCATACAGCGGATAATCCTCCAATTGTTATCCGGGACTTGCTGCCTGTGAAGGATTTGTAATATATTCCACAGGAACACTCTACTTTTAAATTACTGAATCTGTTGTAGCAATTAGTGATTATTGGAACCCATCATCACTTATTACTGTGTAGCAGCTATTCAAAGCAATAGTAACGAATACTTGATTTTCTAAACATAAAATAATTAGAATTTCTACAATCTCTAACACCTTATCTATACTTCACCCTGCTGGGGCAGTGAGAACAGACACCAATATAGCCTATATGTCAGTAGAAGAAACCACTGGGACTGATCTACTGAGAGCTTACACTTTCACAGCACTATATATGTGATAAGCAGCTAATAACATAGTTTGTACCATAAAACTTAGTATCATATGTGCTTATTGCTTAACCATCTTAGCTGGTTGGAACATGCTGCACAGATTAACAATTCAGGCTAGATTCATTTAAGATAAAAGCAGAAAAGTCTTACCTTAAATGGGCTCAAAGTGTGTTGGAGGAAAGGTGAGAACACACTTGCAACAGATTCTGAGTGCACCTGGCAAACAGTTAGTTGCTGCTGGGAAAACAGCCTCTCTAAGTCCTGGAAACCAACATCTTGAAATACGGAGAAAAACAAAACAAAATTATAACAAAGATATTGGCGCCTGATTTTGAAATCGCATTGCGCATGTGTCACGCGTGCCGCGATTCCACGGTGGAAAGCATCACAACCTGTCCGTGTGTTCCACCTCCAAGACTTCCCAGCTAGCGCACTTATGCGCACCATCGTCTGCCCGGCACCTAGCCTGGTATAGATGGAAAAAATACCAACAGGGAAGATGCAGACAACCGGTATGCTTATCCCTGGGAGATCTCAGAATTTTTTTTAAAAGAAGCAGAACCTCCCAAGCCTCAGCCCTCTCACCATACTCCTGGGGAGCAAACCAGACTCCCTCCTCTGCCGAAGGCAGGCAAAGAACTGGGGCTGTGCTAGATAAGAGGCAGTTTATAGGTCCAAAGGTTAATTGGGGGAGGTTCTTAAAACGTTTGGGAGTTGCCTGACGGTTTTTTCCCTCCAGATCAGAAATCCCAGATGTAAAGCACTGCCTCTAATCTGAAGGGTAAAAGGTGAATTCTGCCAAGGGAAGGCAGAGCTCTGCTACCTGACCTGTCTCTTTCAAGGACAGGTAATACTGGGAGCTCAGGGTGGATTTGCCCTTTATAAGACTAGGAGGAGAGTAGACTGGGGGTGGAGGACTGCATTTTGTCGTTTTAACCTTTTCTATGCTACCTGTCCTGTGACAAATGGGCAACTACATCCCACTTGTTATGACTGCCGCTTGGACGTTTAGGAAAAACAAAAAATTAAAGTGTAAGTACACTGGAAACAGAGATGGGACTTTTAGCTTATGAAGACCATAAGAAGGCCGAAATTTTAAATACCGTATATACTCGAGTATAAGACGACCCGAATATAACTAGGAAAACTTATTGACTCGAGTATAAGACTAGGGTGGGAAATTCAGCAGCTACTGGTAAATTTCTAAATAAAATTAGATCCCAATAAAATTATATTAATTGAATATTTATTTATAGTGTGTGTTTGTATATAATGAATGGAGAATGTGTGTGTTTGTATGAGAGTGTGTGTATATATAATGCAGAGTGTGCGCATTATATACACACACACACACACTGCATTCAAACAGTGGCGTACACACCGGGGTCGCGACTGCGACCAGGCTCGGCCCACCAGGGGGCCCAGCCGCCCTGTGACCTGGTATGTATGCCAGTGTGGCCAGCCTCTTCTCCTGGGGGGCCCAGGAGCTGGCCATCTCAGGGCCCCCCGAGGCTGGCCCTGGTGTCACCTGGCGCTGGGGATCCCTCCGCCCTGATCCACTCAGCTCCAGCCGCGAGCATTCAAACCGCCCATAGGAAAGCATTACTCAATGCTTTGCTATGGACGTTCAGCGTCTTCTGTGATTTTCGCAGTGAGAATCGTGGAAGCTCATCTAGCGGCTGTCAATGAGACAGCCACTAGAGGCTGGATTAACCATCAGTGAAACATAGAAGGAGGTGAAGGGAGCTGACAGGAGCTGCTGTAAAGGTAACAGCTCGCTGCCAGCCCCCAACAGGACCATTACAAGCCCGGCGGTCCTGGTCTGTATTATGGCAATGTAAGTTGCCATAATACAGACCTTGACTCGAGTAGAAGACAAAAATGTGCCAAAAAACACAACTTATACTCGAGTATATACGGTAACTTTTTCTTTAGTATATATTGAGGATTCTATGTCAAGAGATATGCAAATGATTGCTGCAAAAAAACTTGCATATAACTTGTGATTGGATAACTTGAGACAAGGTGCTACAGCAGTTAAAGAAAATGAATGTAAATAAAGCTCGGTTGCCTGACGGTATTCACCCACGAGTACTTAAGGAGCTAAGTGGCACAATAAGTGAACCTCTGTATTTCATTTTTCAGGATTCTTTTGTTTCAGGTGTTGTACCGGAGGATTGGAGGAAGGCAGACGTTGTACCTATATTTAAAAAGGGTTCAAAATCCTTGCCTGGAAATTATAGAGCATGTGAGCATAACTTCTGTGACTGGGAAAATATTTGAAGGACTATTAAGGGATAATATTCAGGAATTCATTGGGAAGAACATTATTATTAGCAATAATCAGCATGGTTTTATGAAACATAGGTCATGTCAAACTAATCTAATTGCATTCTACGAAGAAGTAGAAGTATAGATCACGGAGTTGCAGTGGATGTGACCCACTTGGATTTTGCCAAGGCATTTGATACGGTTCATCACCAATAGGTTAGTCTTCAAACTAAAAGAAATTGGGCTAGATGAATATCTTGTTCTTGGGTAGAACATTGGCTTAAGGATAGAGTACAACGAGTTGTCATTAATGGTAAATTTTCAGGCTGGACAAAAGTGGTAAGTGGTGTCCCTCAGGGTTCTGTTTTGGGACTGCTTCTATTTAACATATTTATAAATGATCTTAAAATAAGCATTGAAAGTCATGTTTCAGGGTTTGCAGATGACACAAAACTTTGTAAAGTAATAAAATGTGAGCAGGATATTGCTTTGCTGCAGAGGGATTTGAATAGATTGGAGGACTGGGCACTAAAATGGCAGATGAAATTTAGCGTAGAGAAATGCAAAGTTATGCGCACTTCGGGGTCAAGAATTCACAAGCAACTTACACCCTATATGGTAGTGAATTAGGGATAACCACACACGAGAAGGGTTTGGGAATTGTTATAGACAACAAATTAGGCAGCAATATGCAATGTCAATCTGCAGTTGCTAAGGCCAGTAAGGTTTTGTCATGTATAAATAGGGGCATAAATTCTCGGGATGAAAATATAATTCTGCCTCTTTATAAATCGCTGGTAAGACCACACCTTGAATATGCTGCGCAATTTTTGGCACCTGTTCTAAAGAAGGATATCATGGTACTAGAAAAAGTGTAGAGACGAGCTACAAAATTGATAAAAGGAATGGAGCATTTTAGTTACGAAGAAAGGTACAAAAAAATTAAGTCTCTTTAGTTTGGAAAAACGGCGCCTCAGAGGGGATATGATAACATTATACAAAATATATTTAGGGCCAGTAAAAAACAATCTGGAAATCTATTCATAAACAGGGCTATACATAGGACATGAGGTCACGCATTTAGGTTGGAAGAAAGGAGATTTCATCTAAGGCAAAGAAAAGTTTTTTTGTACAGTAAGATCAATAAGGATTCTCTGCCTGAAGAGGTGGTTTTGTCAGAGTCCATACAGATGTTTAAACTGCAATTGGATAAATACTTGCAAAAACATAACATACAGGGATATCATTTCTAATTAGTGGGGTAATAGCTGCTTGATCCAAGGAGACATCTGACTGCTATTTTGGGGTCAAGAAGGAATTTGTTCCTAGTTTGTTGCAAAATTGAAAGTGCTTCAGACTAGGGTTTTTTGCCTTCTTTTGGATCAACAGCAAAAACACATGTGAGGAAGGCTGAACTTGGACGCAAGTCTGTTTTCAGCTATGTAACTATGCAACACACGTTCTCCTTGGTTTTACAAGCCATTTAGTAAATGACAACCACACACCAGAGCAAACATTACAAATTAGAAGGAGATATAGAAACATTGACTCAATTCATAAGAACAGGGACCTATAATCCCATTATAAAATCAAGCAATGGTTATATACGAAGTGTTGCTTTCTTTAAAAAAGTAATCACCAGGCCATAGCAAAATACATTCTAGCAATAGTGAATGGATAGTATACTTTTAGATAAACTTTTTTAGTTAATAAATCCTGTCAAGTGGTCATTTAGAAAAAGCACAATAATTTTATGTATTCCATGTAAAATATATATTTTCAACCCCAAAACATTAAACACAGAGGCGGCACAGACTGATAGAATCTGTTTTATTATTAATATCATTATTTAACAGATGAACTAAAAGAAGCTGACCATACGGTTCCACCTCAACCAGGGGTGAGCGCCCTGCATCCCCCTCTTCCCCAGCATGGGGAGAGGAAGGTTGATGTCCAAATGTGAGGGGAGGAGACTTGATTCGATCCACAAGAGGAGACTACAGGCAGCAGCTAGGATAATCTTCTCAGCTCAGGCAGTCCATCTCACCCATTTGTCACCCCAATCAGAAGCCATTATCGTTCTTCCAAAAGCCACAGCAAAATAAAATAGAAAATGGAAATATTTTCTCTTAATAGAATAATAGAATTAAACCAGAAAAGAGGAGAGAGAAAGAAAAATAAAACACAAACAGGAGGAATCAAAATGAGGAGAGAAAGTAAAGAACAAAAAGATGGAAGGAAGAAAGAAAATCTCAAGACACAAAATAAAAATAAGGTGGTAATTGGTGCAACTTCCTGCTAAAGATAAGAGCAAAGTTTTCTCCCCTTCAAGCTGGGGAATAACAGGCAGAGCCCTCCCCACATCCAAAACTGGCATCGCAGTTCCTGTAACCCACTTATCCCCTGTGCTCGAGCTTGGAGGTAGTCCAGCTCTGTAGGGGCTGGGGCATGTTGGGAGTGGGCAGTGGGAGGAGAGGAAGCGGGACAATAGTGGGGAGGGGGGCTCATCTCTCCTTTACATGGTTCTGTGCCCCTCCTGTGGCCCCCGCTGCTTCCCTACTGTCCTCCGAGAAGAGGATTTCAGACAGGTCATCCAGGATGGCGGTCTCCTTGGGGTCCAGTAAGCTGAACTCCCGTACAAAGAGGAGAAAGTGGATCAAGAGAGTGTTTAAATGTCCATGTAGCTCCAGGGCTGCAATTTCTTTGAAATGAGCAGAGTAGATGTGGGCCAGAACGTGGAATAAGTATCTGCAGATCTTTTTGACTAGAGATTCAAACGAGCTTGGAAATTCCTTGCCTATAGCAAAAAGAAAATAAACATCAATCTGAAAAGAACAATTCAGAAACAAAAATCAAAGCACATAATGGACAACTCACAAAAACACATTATGTCCTTTACATTACCCACATTTACAACATGAGGTTAAGCAAATTCCATAATTTGACAGAATCTGCAAGTCATAAAGGGACTAATGATTTATTATAGCAGGTTTAAAAAAATTCCATATCTTGGGTCAATATACAATATAGTATTTTAGAGGCTTTGGGTGAGGAGAAACGTTAGAAAACTTACATCACATGTCACTTATGTCATTGACATCTTGCTTCTTACGCCCGTCTACACATTCCATAATCCAACTCTTCCCCAGCTTAAAGGGACACTATAGTCACCAGAACAACTACAGCTTATTGCATTTGTTCTGGTGAGTAGAATCATTCTCTTCAGGCTTTTTGTTGTAAACAGACAAAATGCAGTGTTTAAATGACAGCCTCGTGATAACTTCACTGGCCACTACTTAGATAGCTGCTAGAGGTGCTTCCTGTGGCAGTGCTGCACAGTGTGACTGACATTCAGTGTCTCTACTCTCTGCATAAATACACTGAAGTTTCCTCATAGAGATGCATTGATTCAAGTCATCTCGGAGGAGATGCCAGTTGGCCAGGGCTGTAATTGACTTGTGCTGGCCCTGCCCCTGATCTGCCTGAAAGTCTCAGCCAATCCTATGAGAAAGCATTGTGATTGGCTCAGAGAATCACTTCTGATGATGTCAGACAAGAAGGCTGATCAGTGTCAGAGGCAGCAGCTGCAGACCTGAATAAAAGTAGGATTTTGATATATTTAGGGAGACAAGGGGGCTAGATGGTGGTTTTAACACTATAGGGTCAGGAATACATGTTTGAGTTCCTGACCCTATAGTGTCCCTTTAACTGTGATTCCATAATGTACAACAATAAGTTCACTTCATAGCAGACGTTTACAAATCTTTTAGATAAATATAAATAAATGAATATAATAAAATCGTGTTCAGGCCAACTAAATTAAAACAAGACAAGCTAACTTGGAAAACTCACTATATGCTAACAGGAAACTGGGCAATGGCCCCAACATACTGCTGTCTTTTTTCACTCACCGTATTTGGTGGGGAAGATATCCTCGTCTGTTACAAGTTTCTGTACAGAGCTCATGACGAAGTCTATGTATTGTGGTGCTGTGCATTTTATTTTTTTCCCCCGCTCATCATACCAGTAGTATTGTCTGTAACAAGAGAAGTATGTGCTCAGGACAAGTTCAAATCCATAAACTAATTATAGCATCTCTGTCGTTGCAATAGTACTTCAGTATTTTGTAAAGAATAAAAACCATCTTGAATTATTCACTCAATGAATGCGTTGGTGTTTAATTGAAATTGCAACACAATCAAAAGATATCATAAAACAAACTAGGGACTACTTTGTTTTACAGCCAAATTAAAAGCGAACAAACCATGACAAAATGGCGAAGGAAAAAAAGTCACCCTATTGCGCCTGACAAAAGGGGAGCTATGGAGGATGCCACACTCTCATAGGATCCTCCACAAATCTGGAGTGTTTCACGCTGGGGCATGTTTGAGAGTAGAGCAGTGATGTGGGCTCCTGGTAAATGAAGTGATAGGATATGGTGACAGCCAAAAGGGAGAGTTTCAGGTGAGACTATCTCCCTTCATTTTCCCGGTCTCTGCACACTGAGCTAGAAAGTCACCTTCAGAGGTTTTTGCCAGATATGCATGGGTGCTTTAAGAAGCAATAATTAAAGGAATTATGTGCATGACCTTATTCCTGTGCAGTTGGTAAATATTCAATATGCAGTTCATAAGAGGTAAAACAATATATGTACCTCACGTTAACTTCTGTCTCCTAAGAGGGCTGCAGCAAAGCACATCTATCAGCAGTGGCTATATTTGTAGGCTCCGCTCTAGGGAACTATATTTGTATTATTATTATTTATAAAGCACCAACAAATTCTGCACTGCTGTATATTGTTAGCCATTTCACGAATACAATTTATAGATATAATTCTGAGCACATTAAAGGAACAATATAGTCACCAGAACAACTGCAGCTTGTTGTATTTGTTCTGGTGAGTAGAATCAGTCCCTTAGGGCTTTTTGCTGTAAACACTGTCTTTTCATTACATTACAGCCTAGTGATACCTCCACTGGCCACTCCTCAGATGGCTGTTAGAGGTGCTTCCTGGGGCAGTGCTGCACAATGTGACTGACATTCAGTGTCTCCATGCATACAGTGAACTTTCCTCATTGATTCAATTCCTCTTTATGAGGAGATGCTGATTGGTCAGGGCTGTGAATTGTGCTGGCTCTGCCCCTGATCTGCCTCCGTGAAAGTCTCAGCCAATCCTATAGGAAAGCATTGTGACTGGCTCAGAGAATCACTTCTAATAATGTCAGCCAAGCAGGCAGGTCAGGGGCAGCAGCTGCAAACTTGAATACAAGTAAGATTTTACAATATTTAGGGAGTCAAGAGGGGGGTTGGATGTTGGTATTAACACTATAGGGTCAGGAATACATGTCTGTGTTCCTGATCCTAGAGTGTTCCTTTAAAACTGGACTTATTTGTTATGACAGAAGCCTGGTAAAGCCAAGTAATTTACAAAGCAGAATACAGACTTTTTGGATCACATGGCCAGTAGAAGGTTGATAAAATAAATATATTTTTACAATGCAGAAAGCATTTACTGGGGTATTCCAAATTTTAAAAAAGGGCAAACATGGTAAAGCTGTCACTACAGTCCAGTTGGATCATTTTCCACACCAGTCATTTTTGTCTAAATTATGGCATCCTGATTCCGTGAATAAGATTCTTACATTCAATGAACTGAAAAATCAAGAACCTAAAAATAGAATGGTTCCTAAAAAGGTTCTTGCTGGAACACGTTCCATCCACTAACATCTGAATTGTAGCACATGAAAATCGAAACATAATTTAGACTAAAATGAACAGTTACTAAACACTGAAGAATTTTTACCAAACAGCTATTTTTGCCTTTTGAACTTTAACGTGCTAACATTTTATGTACTGGAAATCGAAGACTTAAAATGTGAGCTGCTGCTGCTGCTGCTGGAACCTCCTCCTAGCCCGATACTTGTCAAGACATGGACTCACGTGTTGCAGGCAGCCATAGTCTGGCAGGTCTCCCCTGTGCAGAACTCTGAGATGGTGCTGTACTGAAGGTTAATGTGGTTGAAGAAAGTGGTGACTGAAAGAAGCAGAGAGAAAGGACTGTTTGATTTTTATGCTACAGGTGCATATAATAAATGTTCAAACATTTTATGGTAGTGAGAGAAACACACAAGCTGTTCCCGGAATCAGTCAGATGGAGTAAAGAGTAATAGGCAAAACGTACTGTTGCTCGCCAACCACTCGTTGAGGTCAATCTCCTGCGGTAACGCAACCAGTTGCTTGAATTCAAAATCGGTAACACGGACGCGTGTATACTCTGGTTCCAAGTACAATTTCTTCTCTTCCGATGCAGGCTTCTTACCATTTGGCTTTGTCTTCGATTTCCTGTTGAGAGGGGAGTGGAAACTAAGTTTTCAAATCATACACAAGTCTTTTGAAATGCAATATAGACATGTATCAAATACCAAACAGGGAATTTACAAACAAACTCTGTAGGATCCTCAATACACCTGTGTGTAAAAGAAAAACCGGAGAGACATCGCCCAAAGGCTGCTTGCAACGAAACCACTCAAATAGATGGCAGTGGTGATGGTGCTATGATTGTAGCTTTCATATTCACAATAAACACTTTCAAATACAGGATAGGGGGAAAACAAATTTCCTTTCTATAAGACCTTATTAAAACTTTTTTTTTTTTTTTATTAATTAGAGTTTATACGCAGAGAAGAAGATATTAAATCCAAACAGGAAAAAATAGAAAATAGTGGAGGATTGGCGCTGTGATGTACACACAGAAAAAATTCAACTACCCCCAGTGCCTAAAATCACTCAAAAAGCACTTAAGTGTTTAAAAAGAAAATAAAACGTAATGGAGGGTGCACAATAATACAGCAATTTTAAATAGTATACTTATACATGAGGAACCTCTTGATCTGAAACAGATAAAGAAATCATAGCATAATACTGTTAGATGTATATAAAAGATCTATTACAGAGGTATTGGGTCACTCACACTTTCCAGAGCCACAACAAGCAGGCTCTGGCTTAGATAGCAGTTGAATAATCAGCTTATTCAGGCTGTAGAAGTCTCATGTGCCAAAGGAAGAGCAGGATCCAGAATGAATGATAACACTAATTTTACTGGATACAATAACAGAGTAAAAGAAGGCATACAGCATAAGCCAACTGCATACAAATAAAAATCCACCAGCACGAACGTGTTTCGACCTTGGGGTCTTTCTCAAAGTGCATGGTGAATGTCCGTTCTTGGTGCTTTATATCTTCATGTATGCGTCATTGCGGTACTTCCGGGTTTCACCAGATTTACAATTCATAGCAGCTCTATCTAAACGATGTAGTTCACCATTTTGAAATAGGGCAACAATATCCATATCACAAGTCCTTCATATATAAACCACAACAGTAATATATAACAGAGTACAAACATAAATAATAATACATCTTGTGTATTCTTTATCTAATATCTTAAAAGAAGGAAAATTGTTTATACGCACACACATACTTTAGTTTCTATACTTAATTTCCATTTTTTGAGTATTCTAGTTCATAATTATCAAAGGAAGAAGCTGAACTAAGCTCACAGCCTTTACAAATGGTCAAAATTCTTCACACTATATAAAACATATACCTGATGTCTGATATTCAGAAATCCATGGATATTATCTGAACCACTAAAGTTCTATTGCAGTCCCTTTTCCAAAGAAATCTGGCCATGTAAAGGTTAACTGATCATACTATAGGCCAGCATGTGCCATCATATGCTGGTGATGAGAGAGTTACGAAACTAGCTCCTCTGCCAACCTGCGTTTCCTGTGCTTACTTTCTCACAGAGGAGTCTTTGCCTTAAAAGGAATTCCAGAGCCAGCACAGAATCCTGGGGACAGGGAAGGGTGAGGAGGGGGCAGTGCCCAGACATGCGATACATACCATAATCTGAGCAAAACACATACAGGAAAAAGGAGGGCACAGGCTGATAGGAGGGAAGCACTAACTGGCACTCTGGTTATAAGAGACAGAATGGTGCTACAATGGTAGGGAAGGTATAGGTGCCAGAGCTATCACCAATACCGGAAGGAAGCCACATTGCCAGACTTCCTTCACAAAAGCCAGAGACACAGACAGTGCGCTGCGTTTCCATACACATTATCTAAGCATTCACACACAGTGACAGCCCTCAGACACACCAATATTCAAAATGAATATTCCACTAGCCACATGCAGGCTTGAGATGGCTTTTTTTTCCCCACAAGGTGTTCAGAAAGAAAGCATATTGAAAAAAAAGTCACCTACTTCATATGGGCTCGGTTATGCTGACAACCTGCACATGTTATGTCAATTGCAGAAGAGCGGTCCGCCACCCTAGAGGCTAGGAAAAACTATTCTTAAGTATATAGTATATATTTTAAATTTTACCAGATAACAGTGTGCACAAACTTACATGGTGGGTAGAGAGCCTACAATATGTAGTGATTAGTGGGTTAAAGCATACTTACAACCAACTTGACTTTATGTCAAACTCAAAGTCTAGCATGGACCACATAAACAAGGTTTAAAGTTTAGGTGAGCCGCAAACCCCCCCCCCCCCCAAAAAAAACCTTACACATTTTCATAGAAACATTGGTTTATTTTGAAAAGTACAGTATAAAAAAAGCCCCCAGCAACCCCCCTCTACTAAATCCCAGTGGTCCCCTTACACCTCCTCCCCAGTCTACTAAATACGAGTCCCCTACCCCCTACTAAATCCCAGTCCCCCCCCCCATATTAAATCCCAGCAAACCCCCCATCCCCCTCATACTAAATCCCAACAAGCCAACAAGAGGACTCCACTCACTTTAACACTGCCAGTATGCGACTCGAGTCCGGCCTCTAGTATAGCCCAAATGTTGCTGTCTTCACGCTTTGCCAAATCTGATCCTCCCGCTACTTCTTGAAACCCTGTGAAGGTGAAGCACGTTGATGTCACGTCGGAATGTGACGTGGCGTCGAGTGCCTCCATACACCTCCAGGTACTCCACTGTCCAGTCGCAGCCAGGGCAACAATGCCCCACACACTCACTGACAGACACACACACATTTTCTTTATTGCTCCCTACCTTTGGGAGCAGATGTGGGGCCTCTCCCTGGGGATCTTCTATCTGCTCCTCACTGCTCGGTTTAGTGATGCCGGGTGCTGGATTATGACATCATATTACGGTGCCCGGCTTCACTACAGACGGCGCGTGAGGGACCAGTGAGGAGCAGGAAGACTGAGCTCCCTCGCAGGCCTCCTCCCTGGCCAGGTAAGTTTTAGTAGAGTAGGCACCTGCAATGTGGGTACTCTGCTTTAACAACAAGCATGTAATCGCGGATCGCCGGGCCGAGAGTTTGACATGCTTGCTTTAAAGGGACACTATAGTCACCTGAACAACTTCAGCTTAATGAGGTTGTTCAGGTGAGACCTATAGCTACCTGCAGCCTTTCTAATGTAAACACTGTATTTTCTGGGAAAATACAGTGTTTAAATTGAAAGCTAGGAACACCTGCAGTTGCAGTCACTCAGAGTGAACCAGAGGGACTTCTGAGTTGATGGAGGCATAATATGCCTCCATGCACTGAGATCTGCTGTGCACGAGCATCCTGTGATTCAGTTTCTCCTCCCACTGCATGCAGACACTGAACTTTCCTCATAGAGATTCATTGATTCAATTCATCTCTATGAGGAGATGCTGATTGGCCAGGGCTGTGTTTGACTCATGCTGGCTCTGCCCCTGATCTGCCTCTTTGTCAGTCTCAGCCAATCCTATGGGGAAGCACTGTGATTGGATCAGGCTATCACATGTCAGCAGACTGCTTGTTTTTCCTGAGTATCAGCATGCAGATTTACAGCTTCTGGCTTGAATACAGTAAGATAGTTACTATATTTATGGAGGCATGAAGGGTCCAGGGGGGCTAGATGCTAGATGGTCGTGTTAACACGATAGGGTTAGAAATACATGTAGTTGCACTGGTGACTATAGTGTCCCTTTAAAAGGGATACTTTAGACAACAAAACAACTTTAGCTTAAACAGTTTTGGTGCATAGATCATGCCTCTAAAGTCTCACTGCTCAATCAAATGTTAACTTATTTTAAGTTGCCTCTAAAAGTTTTTATCTCCTGCTCTGTAAATTGAACTTGAATCACATACAGGAGGCTCCAGCGAGGTCTTGCAAGCTATTAACACAGTAGGAGATTAATTCTAAATTAAACAGAATTTGCAATAAAGGAAGTTTAAACATTAGATGACTCTTTACAGGAAGTGTTTAGGAAGTCCGTGTAAGTCACATGCAGGGAGGTGTGGCTAGGGTTGTGTAAACAAAGTGATTTAACTCCTAAATTGCAGAGAATTGAGCAATGAAACTGCAGGAGCATAATCTATAAACCAAAACTGCTACATGAATCTAAATTCACTTTGGTGACTAAAGTGTCTTTTTAAAGATCATTTATTTAAAAAAAATAAAAATAAAAAAAAATCATCTATACAAAATCACTAGTAAATCCAGAAGTGACTGAAAGCTAGAGAAAAGAGCTGCACAGACACCCTTTCTCCATGCTATGTATTGAGGATGGTGAGAGCATCATTTTGGGAGTCAAGAAAACTTGCACCAGACCTTCACGGGTGTTTTGTTTCAGAATATTCTTTTGTTCTAAAAGCATATCAGCAGAGCTGTGTGAGTGGTCACTATAATGTGTGTGGAACACTGCAGTTTTTAGCATGTAAGTGCGCACAAGGGGTTGTGAGATTCCACTTCAGTCACAAGCCGTGCATTCAACTATGTGGCCACCCTTGGACTTCATTTATGCATCATGTTTTATGCCAAGCAGGGCAACAAGTAACTGAACTCTGAGTGATAAGATCCCAATATTTACAAAAGTGTGAATGAACTATTTGGAATTCAAAGGGAATTTCAAATGTAAGGCCAAGACAATAGAATTAAAGAAAATTCTACAGGTCAGCTGTTCTGGTTTTACTTGCACATAGAATTCCTGACAATTCTTACTTTAGTATCCATGTCGCTGTTTAACTGTTAGACACCATAACTACCGTGAAAGCAGCATTCGCCTGCAAAGATACAAGCTGCTATTCTGCGAGTCAGACGGTCATTTTATCTTCACTAAACACGCCACCTGAAGAAACAACAACATTTAAAGGAACACTCAAAGCAACCCAACCACTATTGCACCCTCTAGTGACCCTGCATTGAAAGGAGTCAAAATCAGAATAGTTTTTCTCATTACAAGAAACCAATCTCTACCTCCTTTAAAACTCAGATAGAGCCCAAAGCTCCTGCTTAGTTGTTTCCTCTGCAAATGAACCCAGCCTGCACAGCCAAGCTAAGCTCAGTGAAAAAGAGGTTTCCAATTCTTCTGTAGCTGTAGTAGAGACAGGGAGAAGCGCCCATGGAACACCAGGTAAGAAGTCAAGGAGAGTCTGATGGCAGTAGGCAGCCGCCTACAAGAAATCCTGCAAGCGCGAGTTGGCCACACGAGTATCAGACAGGGGCAGAGCGGAGGGACTGAGAAGGGGCATACCTATGGATCTGTGAAGAGATGTAAGATGGGCTAGAATTGGTCAATGATTTATAGGTATGGGTTAGTACCTTGGAATTGACTCCTATAGGATACAGGAAGCCAAAGTAAGGACTGACAGAGCGGTGAGGTGTTAGAGGACCGACTAGAGGAAAATCAGTCTGGCGGCAGCATTCATTACAGACTGTTAGTTTAAAAAAAAACGAAAAAAAACTGGCTTCTAACTTTTTTTAGCTGGCTTCAATTTCCAAACACATTTGTCAAGCCCTGGCATAGGAACTTTACGGACATCCGAATATAAGAGAAAGTACGGACTGTTTGTTGGGTGAGAAGGGTGATTTTCACGCAGGCCAGCTGATGTTACAAGGCATCATAAAGCAATCACAAATGATGCCCATCATATCTCCCATGCAGGACCCCCCTCGTTTTGTGATCACACAAGTGAAAGGGGTTTTAAGCAGGCCAGGGACTTAGGATGTAAGAAAAACCCAAACATCAAAAACAATAGGCTTCTGACGGGTGTAGCCCTTCGCTTGTCTGAGAAAAATTGTTGTCTTCATTTTTTTGTTTTTTTACTCTTACATTACATATGTTTAATTCTATATCACACATTCACAATAAAGTGTGTTCCCCCTAGAGCAGTGATGGCAAACCTTTCTGAGCCTGAATGCCCGAAACTAAGTCAAAAACTAATTCTCATATTGCCAGCACTACAATTAAAGATAAAAACAGGGGTTCAGCTTGAGATACGGGTTTACTTTAAGTGCATAAATACAATAAAAATATTTTGCCCCCTCTCCTGCTCACATTTCTTTTAAAGGGTGTTAACTCTCCTAGTGATTCAATTGGGTTCATAATAAAGAGCTGGTGGTCCTGAAGGAGTCAACAATTCCCACGTGGTTTAGTGGGGGTCAATAATAAATGCCTGGAGGTCCAGTGGATAATAATAATTAATATGTACAATGATCTCCATAACAATTCCCACACGGTTTAGTGGGGGTTAATAAATGCTTGGTGGTCTGGTGGAGTTAATAATAAATATCTAGTGGTACAATGATCTCAATAACAATTCCCTGGTGGTTGAGTATATGGTCTGCACCGATGCAGACAATTATTAATTGCTCCTTCTGGTCCGGTGCTCAGGAGGAAGCCAGAGCAGAGGCTGGGAGTCCTGGCAGCTGCATTCAGATCCCCTTACAGAGCACCACAATTGTAAAAGGAGAATTTGTTTGTCAATACATTAATACAATATATTGCCTATTTGGATACCGCACCCATTGGTGCTGTACCCCAAGGCAGGTACCTGTGCATCCAGAGTATTAACTTGTGTACTAACAGAAATGCTGTGTGCCTCTTTTGGTTGATCATTGCATTCCTAGAATGCACCCTTAAAAAGTCTATAGCTGAAGTATCAGAAAACCAATAATTGCATATGAAGGGTCTGACGTTTAATCCTTCCCTGCGTTTACCATCAGGACACAGTAAGTTGGGGGACTTGCCATGACCAACAGTGCAACTATTCTGGATTAAGCGGGAAGGAAGCAATGATGAGGCACGAGTGTGTCTTCACCCCCGCAATGCTAATTATTTTGTTTTCTCTTGAAAAGATAAATGGAGGTTGTGCCAAAAACGAAGCATTGGATCTATGTTTATAACAAATGTGGAGAAGGGAACTTCAACTGTACTGTAACTGTGAAATGAGGATTATTAAATAAGGTACACTATCCTAGCAACCTACTGTTTCACCCTTCCCTTTTGTGCCACTATACCCCACTCCCTCTAACATGTAAACTCACTGAGCAGGGACTCAATCCCTCTGTTACTGTGTCACTATACCCCCACTCCCTCTAACATGTAAACTCACTGAGCAGGGCCTCAATCCCTCTGTTACTGTGTCACTATACCCCACTCCCTCTAACATGTAAACTCACTGAGCAGGGCCCTCAATCCCTCTTTTACTGTGTCACTATACCCCACTCCCTCTAGCATGTAAACTCACTGAGCAGGACCTCAATACCTCTGTTACTGTGTCACTATACCCCACTCCCTCTAACATGTAAACTCACTGAGCAGGGCCCTCAATCCCTCTGTTACTGTGTCACTATACCCCACTCCCTCTAACATGTAAGCTCATTGAGCAGGGCCCTCAATCCCTCTATTACTGTGTCACTGTACCCCACTCCCTCTAACATGTAAACTCACTGAGCAGGGCCCTCAATCCCTCTGTTACTGTGTCACTATACCCCACTACCCCTAACATGTAAAATCACTGAGCAGGGCCCTCAATCCCTCTGTTACTGTGTCACTATACCCCACTACCTCTAACATGTAAACTCACTGAGCAGGGCCTCAATCCCTCTGTTACTGTGTCACTATACCCCACTCCCTCTAACATGTAAACTCACTGAGCAGGGCCCTCAATCCCTCTGTTACTGTGTCACTATACCCCACTCCCTCTAACATGTAAACTCACTGAGCAGGCCCTCAGTCCCTCTGTTACTGTGTCACTATACCCCACTCCCTCTAACATGTAAACTCACTGAGCAGGCCCTCAATCCCTCTGTTACTGTGTCACTATACCCCCCTCCCTCTAACATGTAAACTCACTGAGCAGGGCCCTCAATCCCTCTGTTACTGTGTCACTATACCCCACTCCCTCTAACATGTAAACTCACTGAGCAGGGCCCTCAATCCCTCTGTTACTGTGTCACTATACCCCACTCCCTCTAACATGTAAACTCACTGGGCAGAGCCCTCAATCCCTCTGTTACTGTGTCACTATACCCCACTCCCTCTAACATGTAAACTCACTGAGCAGGGCCCTCAATCCCTCTGTTACTGTGTCACTATACCCCACTTCCTCTAACATGTAAACTCACTGAGCGGGGCCCTCAATCCCTCTGTTACTGTGTCACTATACCCCACTACCCCTAACATGTAAAATCACTGAGCAGGGCCCTCAATCCCTCTGTTACTGTGTCACTATACCCCACTACCCCTAACATGTAAAATCACTGAGCAGGGCCCTCAATCCCTCTGTTACTGTGTCACTATACCCCACTACCTCTAACATGTAAACTCACTGAGCAGGCCCTCAATCCCTCTGTTACTGTGTCACTATACCCCACTCCCTCTAACATGTAAACTAACTGAGCAGGCCCTCAATCCCCCTGTTACTGTGTCACTATACCCCACTACCTCTAACATGTAAAGTCACTGAGCAGGGCCCTCAATCCCTCTGTTACTGTGTCACTATACCCCACTCCCTCTAACATGTAAACTCACCGAGCAGGGCCTCAATCCCTCTGTAACCAGAGGAATTGGACACACTTGAACAAATACATGTCTGTTAGTCCACCCATTGTACAGCGTTATAAACATACCCTGCAGGATACACCCGGCCACGGACAGAGTACAGGAAAGGTACCCTGCAGGATACACCCGGCCACGGACAGAGTACAGGAAAGGTACCCTGCAGGATACACCCGGCCACGGACAGAGTACAGGAAAGGTACCCTGCAGAATACACCCGGCCACGGACAGAGTACAGGAAAGGTACCCTGCAGGATACACCCAGCCACGGACTGAGTACAGGAAAGGTACCCTGCAGGATACACCCGGCCACGGACTGAGTACAGGAAAGGTACCCTGCAGGATACACCCGGCCACGGACAGAGTACAGGAAAGGTACCCTGCAGGATACACCCGGCCACGGACTGAGTACAGGGATGGTACCCTGCAGGATACACCCGGCCACGGACACGGTACAGGAAAGGTACCCTGCAGGATACACCCGACCCGCGGGCTGATGCAGGAAAGGTACCCTGCAGGATACACGCCCGACCACGGACAGAGGTGCGGAAAGGTACCCTGCAGGATACCTCCCACGACCACCGGACTGAGTACAGGAAGGTACCCTGCAGGATACACCCGGCCACGGACAGAGTACAGGAAAGGTACCCTGCAGGATACACCCGGCCACGGACATGAGTACAGGAAAGGTACCCTGCAGGATACACCCGGCCACGGACTGAGTACAGGAAAGGTACCCTGCAGGATACACCCGGCCACGGACTGAGTACAGGAAAGGTACCCTGCAGGACCCTGCAGGATACACCCGGCCACGGATTGAGTACAGGAAAGGTACCCTGCAGGATACACCCGGCCACGGACAGAGTACAGGAAAGGTACCCTGCAGGATACACCCAGCCACGGACTGAGTACAGGGATGGTACCCTGCAGGATACACCTGGCCACGTACTGAGTACAGGAAAGGTACCCTGCAGGATACACCCGGCCACGGGCTGAGTACAGGAAAGGTACCCTGCAGGATACACCCGGCCACGGACTGAGTACAGGAAAGGTACCCTGCAGGATACACCCGGCCACGGACTGAGTACAGGAAAGGTACCCTGCAGGATACACCCAGCCACGGACCACGGACGGACTGAGTACAGGAAAGGTACCCTGCAGGATACACCCGGCCACGGACTGAGTACAGGAAAGGTACCCTGCAGGATACACCCGGCCACGGACTGAGTACAGGAAAGGTACCCTGCAGGATACACCCGGCCACGGACAGAGTACAGGAAAGGTACCCTGCAGGATACACCCGGCCACGGTATACCTTCTCCACCCAGTGTGTGCGCACTTCACTCACCTGCGATCAGTTTAGCATGCTTCGTTAAAGTTATATATAACTGCCATCAGCACCCGCATTACATTCATCTTTTCTAATAACAGGTGCCCTTATCTGATATCTGGCTAGTTTATAACCGTTTTTTTTTTTTATCTAGTTTTCTTTTTCCCAGCATTTATAAAAGCACAGTTTCCACAGTATTGCTGATCACTATGCTGACAAGGCGGCTCTTACTAAAACAGACACCATTTGTAAATCACACCACTCTTGCCCAAACAACCTTGGACACAACAGGACACACAGAATAACTGTCCGTACGATAACAAGAAAATAATCAGTGTTTCACCAAGTAATGGCCGGGCCCCTAGCACATGCACATTATAGAACCCCAGCTTACTCCTCTATTAGAGGAATCGACACCCACGACACATTGCTGCACTATTACAATTACCAGCATGTCTTCTATTACAGTAATCTACTGTTCATACCTGTTCGGACCATGGCTATAACAGAAACCTACATAAAAACACCTGCCCCATACACACCATCTCAGGCTGCATTACTGAAATAGCCACGGTCCTATGGTTTTTAAGGTTTTCGTCTGCACAAGTGTCAGTCGTTTGGATCACACCACACACACACACCTAAAGCACTTTAGCTTCCGGAGTGCTTTATGTTTGAAGAGTATGATGTCTTTTTTTCTTTTTACAAAGAGTGCAGATTTCACCAGAAATTGGCACATTTATAAATGTTTTATTATTCTTTTATACTTCGTTATTTTTTTTTATCTCCAAATAAAAGTTATCATTCATTTTATACCACTTGGAGATTCCAGACCTATCTTTCAAGCTTTTTTTTATCCAGAAGACTCCCACAGGGATATCCTTGGTGGGGATAATACCACCTAAGCGCTTTGGGATTGAGCAATACCTCCATTTGTGAGTATGTCTTGTTTTATTTTTAACATATAGAGAGCACTATATTCTGTTTTTATTTCTTCTCCTGCCTACTGAGGATACCTCCCTGCCAGGCTACGGCACCACCACTAAAAACACAAAGAACAGCACCAACTAACAAGCACGAGGACACACTACCATATCCAAAGTATAACCTTTGTCCTTGTTAAGATATCAGAACTCCTGACATACTACACTATATTACGTTCTCTGTGCTTATTTCACATATTACCCTGGATTTGAAAACACCACAGGCGCTGCCTCCCTGCACCTTTTTCTGCAAATCAACCATATTACCAGAAAGAAGAGACTAGGGGAGTTAGGGGAGTCAAAGCTGCCACACATCCAGAATACATACATTTATAAATAAGCCTTGTTACACCCCCAGGCTGTCAGATAACCAGTCCTGTTACTTCCAGGTAGTTTAACTCTGCACAATGGCCTCTTGAGTTTATCTCTGCAGAGCACCTGCCTCTCAAAAACCTCTCATTAAGCTACATTGGGAAGTCTGTGATTGGACAGACACAAAATGTGGGATGTGGAAAAAAGGGAGGGCTTGCAAAGACCGCAGATAAAAGATCTGCAGCCATTTCTAGATGCTCTTAGATATTCCCCCACCAAAAAATTCATAATTAAATACATGCATGTATTTAATTTAATATATAAACATGCATGTATTTAATTTAATATATAAACATGCATGTATTTAATTTAATATATAAACATGCATGTATTTAATTTAATATATAAACATGCATGTATTTAATTTAATATATAAACATGCATGTATTTAATTATGAATTTTTTGGTGGAGGAATGGTACACAAGGTGCGCACCAGCTGTCCAGGTTTGGAATAGATGAAATAAAAGTTTAAATCCTAGACGGTTGCTGTGCCTTAAGGTCTGGGCTGGGAAGCGCTGAACTAGATCAACCCTGGCCACATAAATTCTAAACAAACTTAGGATTCCGGATTGAAAGAGTGTGTTAAAAACACAGGTAAGGCAAAGTCAGCAATAACTCTAAACTGGATCCTACACAGCACACCACAAAATAATAAACTGGAAGGTAGGAAATAATGAAAAGTTGAATAGAAAAAATGTAAAAAAAAATTCTGCAACCTAAAATCATTTATATTATTTAGCAATTACTTTTTAGACATTAATCCCGTCATGATTCCATGTTATTCCAGAAGTTGTGTCCTTAAGGGGTTAAAGGCACAGTTCGTCAACATCAACATACATATTCAAGTTTCTATTTGTGTGTTTGTGAAGCAGAAAACAAGAAATTATCCACATTTACAAACACAGTCTGTGCTCCTACAGAATAACACAATCATAGAAAGCACTCAGATTTGAGGGGGGAAAAAGCCAGACTTAATGAACAGAGAATGTCTAACAGTTTAAGAGCTATCATCATTAGAACATTATTCATTCAAATCCTGGCATGGTGAATAAAACAACAATCCTTGGGTTTTCCAACTTATTGTGCAAACCAAGGACAATACTTAATAATGGGACAACTTTCTAAATTGCTTTTAATATGGCAGGTTGGGACGCGCTGTATGTGGTACTACCATGGCACGGTGCCAATTTAACTCATTCTGTCACGGGTTGAAGAGTGAGCACCTATATATACTCTGCACAGTGAAACCATTGCTAATAGCCGTACTCTGCCGGTCACAAACTATACATCTGTCCATCTTCACACACAGCGCCCCATCATAAATAATCTGTCCCAAAGCTGGGGGTGCTTCCTCCTATGCCACATGGGTTACCTCCATCAGGTGCCATGGTTTCCTGATTGCCATACCTCAAAAGTTCATGTGAAAGAATGTTTGTTTGTGACACATTCTCTGTAGCAGACAGACACTTTACAACTTAACAATGCTCAAGTTGCAAGAACAGCACACCAGAGCAGGCAGGCCCAACATTTTAATTAATTTAAGGGCACCATGCAAGCCACTTGTCAAACACTGGCACGCCTGGTTATAAGAGGACCTGTGTAAAATTCAAGAGTGCGGCCATTATCCACTGGGTCTAGGCATGCAGACAAAAAATAGAAGAGGATTGACATAAAACTTTTTTTTTTTTTTTTTTAAAGGCTCTTGCACAGGACTGTTCTAGTACATTCATCAGGTAACAATTCTCAGATTGATAACAGGAGAGAAGAGAATATTACAATGTATGAAAATAGGAAATACAGCATTGAGAGCTTTAAAAGTCGATCATGACATTAAATAGTTCCCATACCCGAAGTACATCTTCCATGGCTCTTAGCATTCCAATTGTACGTCAGCTACATTTCACAGGATGTCCAACCAGCTAATTTAGCAAGAAAACACCCAAATATTCATCACCTGCATACCTTAGCACTCTTCCTACTGCCTGTAGAACCATCTTACAACTGAAGCCAGGTTTAGGGCTGCCGGTGAGCAGGGCTCTGTCTGGGGAGAGTGCCGTGGGGTCCCCCAGCATTCTCTCACCCGAGAGCGTCCCTTTCCAACTCACAGCAGACAGCACAGAGACAGACCCAATACAAAACTTCCCAACACATACAGGAGGAGGAGGAGGAGGAAAAATATAAATGAAAAAAATGAAGCCCTCCCTCCCAGCCATTCCACCAATAGTAGAGAGAGGAGGAGAATGGGAGGAAGCCAAGGAGGAAAATATCCAGACTGAAAGGTCCTATTCATAGCAGAGTCAAACACGGATTCAGGAGACCCTCCCCACTACTATGTCGCACAACACTGAGAAGATGGCTCTAATGTTTACTTGGGAGAGACAGCCATGTACAACACCAGGTTAAGGGATGATGCAGTGAAGAGAAAGATTACATAACTAAACAAGCCATTAAATGCAAACGGATGAATGTCATGCATACACACGGCAACATTCAGAGACAAGATGTACTTTCACATCCACAAGCCATACACTATCTGGGAGGATACAGACTGCTCCAGTCTATTAACAGCTAAATGCCCAGTGTGGGCCAATGACGTGTGCAAGAAAAACCTTGTCCTGGAGACTGTATTCCAATATAGAACGTCCAACTAATTCATGGTAATAGCAGCCGAGACCGCTATCCCAGGACTGAGAATGATGATTGAACATTATTGTTATAAAGGGGTTAAACAATCGTCCTTCAGAAATGCTCATATCAGATGTAGTAAAATCATTAACCCCCTCACTGCCAATGTTTTATTATGTAATATTCACATGTTTCTTGTAAGATAGGGGACAATTCTATTAAATTCTTCAAGGCACGCCTGCAGTGCATGTCCACTCCACTTTCCTTGCCATAGATTTAAAGTTACCTTTAAAACTAACCTTGCCAAGCACATGGTCTGGAGAGACTGATCCCATAACCCTGCAGGCGCCTGGCACAAACTAATCTTGCCAAGCACACGGTCTGGAGAGACTGATCCCATAACCCTGCAGGCGCCTGGCACAAACTAACCTTGCCAAGCACACGGTCTGGAGAGACTGATCCCATAACCCTGCAGGCGCCTGGCACAAACTAACCTTGCCAAGCACATGGTCTGGAGAGACTGATCCCATAACCCTGCAGGCGCCTGGCACAAACTAACCTTGCCAAGCACATGGTCTGGAGAGACTGATCCAATAACCCTGCAGGCGCCTAACCCTGCAGGCGCCTGGCACAAACTAACCTTGCCAAGCACACGGTCTGGAGAGACTGATCCCATATAACCCTTGCCAAGCACACGGTCTGGAGAGACTGATCCCATAACCCTGCAGGCGCCTGGCACAAACTAACCTCGCCAAGCACACGGTCTGGAGAGACTGATCCCATAACCCTGCAGGCGCCTGGCACAAACTAACCTTGCCAAGCACACGGTCTGGAGAGACTGATCCCATAACCCTGCAGGCGCCTGGCACAAACTAACCTTGCCAAGCACACGGTCTGGAGAGACTGATCCCGTAACCCTGCAGGCGCCTGGCACAAACTAACCTTGCCAAGCATACGGTCTGGAGAGACTGATCCCATAACCTAGCACATGCACTGTGCGTTAAGCAGTTAATCCAATTTATACCACATGGCATGTAAAGGGTTGAAAATGAGATTTACAAAAATCTTGCATGTCACAAGTCTTCAAAAATTCAAATTAGACCTCATAGAACAAGACACAAAGCCTCTTTCTTTGGAAGGAAAGGTCTAGCCATAGTTGCAGACAGACGCACTAAACTTTGCAGCTACGGGTGTTTGGTGGGAATATTTTATACTTAAGTATATAATGCATTAAAACATAATGGCATTCAGCCGGTCTCCTAGGAAAGCATTTACAATGCTTTCCTATGGACGCTTGCATGTTCTCACTGTAATTTTCACAGTGATAATCACGTAAGCGCCTCTAGCGGCTGTCAATGAGACAGCCACTAGAGGATTTGGAGGCTGAATTAACCCTATTATAAACATAGCAGTTTCTCTGAAACTGCTATGTTTATAAAAAAAAAGCTGAAGTGGTCTGGGTGCCTAGAGTGATCCTTTAAGGTCTGTAGAATATGAATGCTTCATATTGAGGCGGCGTGTACACTGACGCCACTCTTAAAATGCTACAGAGTTATGGACTAAAATGAGAAGCGTTAGGAAATCAAAGTGAATGTCATAAATCCTGATAATTCTCCCCTTAGAGCACAACAAAAAAAGGAAAACACACATTAATCACTGTCAAATTTAAAATGTTACCAGGTACATGTGGATATTTAACATTTCCACCTTACAAAAGACATTTATGGATTTGATTGTATTGACAACAGTAAGCCATGATACAATTTACACAGATTTGGTCAATTAATTTGAAATCCACAGGTGATTACCACAGATCTGTGTACCTTATACCATCAATAGAATTCAACTATTGATGTCATTTCCTTAGTGACAAATAAGCCCAAAGAGTAGCAATGATCACATCTTACTTCAGTAACTTACAGGAGTTTCTGCGTCTGATGTTCATTGTAAAATAAGAGTTTTTGACACAGATTCATACAAAGCTCTGCACATCATATCACTCGCTCGCCCTAATTCCATTCCTGCTCAGTGTTCCAGATGGGAGTTCAAACAGCCAAGCTTTCCTGAAGGTGTTATGTAATGGCTAGGCCCCCCATTTAGTAAAATAATTGGTCTGATACATGGCTGGGCACCTGCGGATTATGCCTATGGGTAAAGGAAGTTATAGCCAGGATTGCAGAGTGCTGCAGATAAGTTTTAGAAGGCTGAGTAAGAAGGAGACGAGGGAGGCAGCAGGCCGGAGAGGGTTAAACCGGAGAGGCAGGAAACAAGGAGGGAGGGATGTGATGCCAGCCAGGGAGGGGACACACCCCACCTGCTATAAATACTGTGCAGCAAAATATAGCAAGGCAGAGCTCGCACAGACCTGGAGGAAAGGGGAGTGTGGAGAGATTGGATTAAAGGACATACTGTGCCTCGCTTTCTGAAATCACCCCAGTATGAGCACCTTTCCATTAATACTCGACTACTAAGGCAGGGAGCGGCCCCACCACTATGAACAGTGTGCAGAGTGAAAAGTAATCACCCCCCCCCGTATTGCAGCACTCTGTAAAGCGCTGTGCCCCCCGGTATTGCAGCGGGGCCGAGGGGGCACAAGGAGACGGGCGCAGCGGGGCCCGAGGGGGCAGAAGGAGACGGGCGCAGCGGGGCCCGAGGGGGCACAAGGAGACGGGCGCAGCGGGGCCCGAGGGGGCACAAGGAGACGGGCGCAGCGGGGCCCGAGGGGGCACAAGGAGACGGGCGCAGCGGGGCCCGAGGGGGCACAAGGAGACGGGCGCAGCGGGGCCCGAGGGGGCACAAGGAGACGCGCGCAGCGGGGCCCGAGGGGGCACAAGGAGACGCGCGCAGCGGGGCCCGAGGGGGCACAAGGAGACGCGCGCAGCGGGGCCCGAGCGGGGCACAAGGAGACGCGCGCAGCGGGGCACAAGGAGACGCGCGCAGCGGGGCCCGAGCGGAGACACAAGGAGACACACACAGAGAAAATGCAGTATTTATATTACAGCCTAGGGATATCACTGGCCACTCCTCAGATGGCTGCTGGAGGTGCTTCCTGGGGCAGTGCTGCACAATGTGACTGACATTCAGACACTGAACTATGTTTGGATTGTGCTGGCTCTGTCTCCTTGACAGTCTTAACCAATCCAATGCTTTACTACTGGTCTCATCTACACTTTTGAGGATGTAAACCAAGCAGGCAGATCAATAGTAAGATTTTACTATATTAAGAGAGTGAAGAGAGGGCCAGGAATACAAATTTGTGTTCCTGACCCTACAGTGTTCCTTTAAGCCAAGATAGCCAAGACCGTTATGTGACCGTTCTCCAAGTCAATTTTGTTTTCAGTCTGGATAAAGTAGCCTTACATTTGGAATCCACTTTGATTTCCGTTCAATTCTCAGGTTAATGCATAACCTTGTTAACGTAGGAAAAAAGTTTGGACCTCAATAGTTTGTGGTATTGTGTATCATACCTATCAATGTGGCTGCTTGTGAGGTTTGCATGTCCTACTGTGTGTTTGGGGCTGTGCATGTCCTACTGTGTGTTTGGGGCTGCTTGTGGGGTTGTGCATGTCCTACTGTGTGTTTGGGGCTGCTTGTGGGGTTGTGCATGTCCTACTGTGTGTTTGGGGCTGCTTGTGGGGTTGTGCATGTCCTATTGTGTGTTTGGTGCTGCTTGTGGGGTTGTGTGTGTATGTGGATTGTAAGTGGTGTTGTTGTGGTGACCATTTGTAAGGACTGTTTTTATTCTTTGAATGAGGTAGAAACTTCTTCTGCAGCTGCCCCATTTATTCCAGGCAATACCAAGCTAAAGGTCTCCCTCAATGTACAGCCAGGGAATATTACAAACTAGTGACATTTTCTGTGAGGTTAGAGATCATGTCCATCTTGACGATTTTCATCGACAAATGGCAATCCTCTGCTTATTGAAAAACAATGAATTCCACATCTGCAGTACCAAAAGAAACCAAGCATTAAATTAAGGCAGGCTTCCCCAAACTCTGGCCCTCCAGATGTTGCAAACTACAACTCACATGATTCTCAGCCTATTTGAGGAAGCCTGCACTAAGGAATAGCTTTGACAAACTCGCTCTCTGAACAGATCTAAAAGCAGCACCGTCATAGCCGAATCCAGTTTGTTTTTACCCCCCTCCCGACTCCACTACATCTAATTGTCCCCCTAGTCAGCTCCAAATGGCCCTAAGCCCCCCATATTACCTATTTTTTGTAAATCTTTATTTTGTGCCCGGACTTATGGCCAGGGCACCGCCATCTTTGTGTGGATAAGATGAAGTCCCTGTGGGACACGTCATCTGCCCACACTAGACAGCGCGATGAAATTCCTGCGCATGCCTAGTAAAACACTTGGGCATTCGCTATGGGAATTTCATCCATTCATTCCTCAGAGACGAAGGAATGAATAGAAATTTCAGACGAACAAACACCAAATATCGGTGTTCATTTCTTCAGTTTATTACAAGGAGGTAAAAATAGACAATTAGAGTGCTGTGACAGGTTAATGTAGAGACTTACCTGTCAGTCTCTTCATTTACCTGTCAGAGCACTGATTGGTTGGCTTAAACCAACCAGAGCGCTCCAAGTCAAATTGCAAGGCTTTATAAGCCTTTCCTGCCCTGCGGAGCTCAGTCAG